GAGAGAGGGTGCGCACGCTCCATGTGTGGATGTCAGACCTTGATGCTTTCCTGCTGGTGGTTGCAATGAGGAAGGTGCAGGAGCAGAGCAAGAGTGCCCAGTGACATCAATGTCAAAAAAAAACAACAGACTTGGCGCTACTAGGCATAGATGTACAGGGGGAGGCTGCAAGAGACCCTGGGCACCAAGGAATGCTTCTCCAGCTAGGCCCAGAAAGCCCTGAAGGGAGCCTCACAGCAGGAGAGAGAGTGGTGCAAAGGAAAGGAGGAAAGACAATTCAGGGCCACAGGAGCAAAAGTGTGGGTGAAGGGAGGCACCGGGCGTTTGAAAGCAGGCAAAGTATTCTGCCCTGCAGGAAAAAAAACCCTGCTTCACATCTCCAAATAGAAGGAGATTCCCCTACAAGAGTGGCGAAGGATTGTCCTTTTCTTCAGTGGACTTCAGTAGCAACTCACGAGGAGGATTGTGGTCACCTCAGGAGGAGTCTTCCAAGCTCCTGACTTGGGGCGTGACTCTGCTTAAAGCAAAGGTGCCTGTGCTGGCTGAAAACGCCTGCCTCTTACCCTACCCGCTGCATTCACTGACATTTCGACTGCCAGACTGCCATCGCTGAACAGCAGTATAAATATTGGGTCTCCATGTCTGTGCCTCATGACTGGCAAGGGACATTCCCTGTTGACACAAAGCTACTGAATGACTCTAACATTGGTGACTATTTTGAGTTTGTGAGAGAGCAGATACGAATTCAGCACTCTCTAACAATCAACCAAAACTCTAAATAGGCTTTTATTGTTGATAAGCCATGTGTCTACGGTACATACGATGTGCAGGTAAAGCCCCTCAACTGAAACTCAAGGCATCCTGCGGAAGGGTGGGCACGCTGATTGCAAGAGAGAACTCGCAGGGGTGGACTGACCAATAGAAGATCCATGTGCGGCTCAGGGTTGAACTGTGGAGGTCTTGGGGTCCTCTGAGCTTGGTTGTCTTCTTGCAAACGTTTCCATACCTGGCTAGGTAACCTCTTCAGTGCTAGCAAGAAATGTTTGCAAGAAAACAACCAAGCTCAGAGAGCCCCAAGGACTCCACAGGGGTGGACTGCCCTGTATTCAACCCCCTGAGCCATTTTCCTTCTCCCTCCTGGAGACATTTGCTCTTTTAATTCAGTTGATAATTCCAAATTGATAGAGGGAAGCATAGAGG